TGTTGAGGTTGACTTGTTTCCGCAGATGTCTGTAGTCAACAACCATCAGTTCGGTCTTGTCATCGTTTAGTTTCAGCAAGTTGTTAGTCATCCGACACTTAACATCTTTAGTGCAATCTGTGATGTGATGAAGGCGTACTTGAAAGTCTTTACCATATGAAATGTCCAGAAGTTGGGTGTCATTTGAAAATGAATGATGGAGAATCATGCTTGGCAATCAGATCCGCCACATTTGTCGTGTATGAAATGAAAAGAAGCGGGTTAAGTACATATCCCTGGGGTATAACACAGTGGATCAAGGAGCTTCGTGATTGCATGTTTTCTTGGAGAACAGCCTGACGTCTTCTTTCAAGATAAGATTGTAACCAGATTAAGGGTCCTCCATGAATTGCAAATTGTCCCTTGAGTCTATCCAGAAGGAGGTCGAGGAGGATGAGAGTAGCCAGTTTTCCTACATCAACAGCTGCGAGCAAGTCACTGGAGACTAGTTGGCTCTCTACTGTGGTTCTACCTGTTGGCTGATTGAAATTTATCCAAAAGTGAAAACACAGAAAAGTGAGACGAATGTTAACAGCTCTCTAGGGTATCTTTTTTATGAACTTCAGGTTAGAGACAGATCTTAAGTTTTAAGAATGTTAGGATCGAGATTATTCTTTTTTAGCAAAGGGGTAATGTTATGGATACATACAAATCATACATACATACATACATACATACATACATACATACATACATACATACATACATACATACATACATACATACATACATACATACATACATACATACATACATACATACATAACACATACGTACAAACATACGTACACACATACATACATACATATACACACACATACATACATACATACATACATACATACACACACACACACACACACATACATACGTACGTACGTACGTACGTACATACATACATACATACATACATACATACATACATACATACATACATACATACATACGTACATACATACTTTCACACACACACACATCAAACATACATCATACACACATCATTCATACGTCCGTACGTACATACATACATACAAACATACATACATAAATAAGTACATACATACATACATACACACAGATATACACACAGATAACGAACATTTTGTAGATGCAGATGTGGAACGTAGCAAGGTGTTTTTACGTATCATACCAGGCTCTATGTGTGCCCGAAGTTTCAGTATTGGAAAACACTCATACCTGCATACTGTCAATGTCATCGAACGATCTAGTCCGAATTAAACTCTGAGCTATGATTTATTGATTGTATTTGATCGATGGAAGGATTTCCAGCGGTCAAACGCTACAGATAACAACTACATATTTGAATGAATCTGGGAAGACACCATTTGCCAAACTACTGTTTACCAACTTTGTCATCACTGGGAGAAACAAATCATTGAATTCTTTTACCAAAGCTGTGGGAATCGCGTCTAAAAGACATGTAGATTTACAGAAAATCTTCAGTACTTCCTGTTCGGAATATGTTTGAAACTCTGCAAGTAGTGTGCAAGAAAACCCCTTGCTATCTGTAGAAGTGTCAGCCTGGGCTCTAGCACAAGAAGGAATGAATCAGGCCAATCTTGGACCAAAAAAAATCATCGAAAAAGTCAGGAAGATCATCAATAGACTGAGTCGAGGGTAGAACTGGACCGTTCGTTTTCCCAAGACGATTATTTGAAGCATGGCTTGGAAGCCAACAGAAGATAATATCTAACTGTTGTCTAACGGTTGATCTAACAATTTCAAAGCTAAACTAAACAAATCAAATTATTTATCAGTAAAAATAAAAACAAATAAAGAACCACTTATGATATTTACAAAACTATATCTACAGATTTACCCACGGATGGTAACGCAGTTGGATTCAGATCTATATCGTCAAGACTACAACTCTTCCATTTTCACAGCTGAATCAAAGGCCACATTAACGGCACCAGGGGAGTTTAGTAAACTAGTGAAACATAAACAAATTGTATTTGTTTAAAGACGCTCTTCCTTGTCTCATTTTTTGTAAATAGTCTGAAATAATCACGATCAAGCATGTCCTGCTTGACTGTATTGATTCTGCCATCACAAGGGATCAATATTACAGTATAAAGACAATGAAGGATATTTTAACCAGGTCAATTATCATTTAATAATTGTGTTTTTAAAAGAAATTGAATTGTTTGAAAAGTTTTGATAAAAATGTTTTGTAAATATATAAAAAGCACAATCGACAACGGTTGACGTGGTTGTGTAAATCCAGCTAGGGTCCATACAGGAAGCAATCGTTCGGTTAGACCCCATTATATGGCTGAAATACTGCCGATGTGACTAGAAATCGTAACTTACTCGCTAAATGGTATTTAACAATTGCCAGATTAAATTAGCAGCTAGGATTGTTAATGGCCGTATCTTGAAAGGGGTTGAAGTACTGTAAACTTGTTGTCCTCCTGAGAGCGTACATGAGACAATATCTTTCAAAGTGTATTTATTTCTCCACGTTTGTCATCGTAGAATAGATGTTATTTTAACCCATGGCTAAATTTGTCTAAATCGCTAACATCTGAAGGGATGGTGTAAATCCAGCTAGTGTCCAAGCAGGAGGCAGAAGTAATGTCAGTTCCCACTGTCCACAGTATGGTGATGTCCCTTCATTTGCTGGTTATCTATAGTCATTTTTTATATTGTTAGTGTATGGTAATGTCGTTTTATGTTTCTATGCTAGACTTAAATTTTAACTCACTCAGTGATAGTGATTATATGTAACTGTAGATGACAGACAGTTGTGCCATTTACAATTCCCGTTGTAAGATACAGCTTATGCAGAGACCAGCTGTTTATACCATGAGGGTGACTTTAACAAATATTCATTAAGCTATCTTACAGGTTTCCAAACATGTTGAACGCGTAAATACCGAGGTTGGAAGTGGTCTTCAACAATACATGATTCTGTTAATAGAGGACAGACAGGATCGGGCGATCAGGCTCACTGGCTCGGTTGATGCATGTCAGCCTATCCCATTTGCACAAGTCACAATTGTGTAGATCGATACTCATGCCGTTGATTAATACATTTTCTGGTCCAGACTCGATTACGTAGAGACCGCCGTCATATACATGTTTGTAGAATATGCATCGTCAAACAATATACAGACATGAAGATTTAAACTATACTAGCCACATAAAGAAACTGTGCATTGTCAAAATATTATCCCAGTTCATAAGTACGATAACAGTGTCAAAGGTACATATACACTTTAATGGAGGGATCATGAGACCATAACAAGTCGGGGGAATTCCAATTGAAAAGTCAATCACAATGACGTCACGAGTCCATAAGCGGGACAGGGGTCAAACGACCATGTCACAAGCTAAATAACGGGTATGTCCAGCATCGGCATTGAGAACAGCAGTGCATCGACGACGCATAGAGCCTATCAAACGTGCAAGGAAGGCTTGTGGGATGTCACGCCAGATTCTCTCAAGTTCTGTTGCAAGGTCAAGGACGTTATCTGGCGGCTGAGGAAGACGGCGTAGACGTCGATCCATCTCGTCCCAAACATGCTCTATCGGGGAGAGATCCGGTGAATTTGCAGGCCATGGCAGTAAGTCAACGTCGTGGTCTGATCCCGTGATGACGTAAACGTTGTCGAACTGTGTTGGGGTGGATACGGCGAAGTCCTGGCATGGTTCGGGCAGTCATCACTGCAGTCTGAAACCTGTGGCGAAGATGGGTCACCCTTATCCATCTGTCCTGTCTTGGCGTTGTTACACATGGACGTCCAGAACGTGGCCGATCGATGACGTCATTTGTGTTCTGATAGCGTCTCACCAGTGCAGAAATGGTGTTCCGGTGGCAGTGGAAATGTGCAGCCACTTGTCGTTGAGACATTCCCCCACGGACCATCCCAATGGCCTCATGACGTTGTGCAGACGTGAGCCTTGTCATGCTATGCGTTTTAATAGCCGTTTAATTTTTTGAGCTTTCCAAAGTGACAGTATCGTGTGGCATTCATTTGCTCTGTTTCTCTTTCCCGGAATGCACGTGCAACAACGTATTGCACGTCTCAAGGGCGAACCCACTGACGTCACGGAACGTGGCACGTGCACGCATGTTGGATACATGTCACTAATCTCTGAGTTTGAATCCTTATGTGTCTACACAGGTTTGAAAAATTTAGATTTTCAGTTTTTGTATGTACAGTTTCTTTATGTGCCTAGTATACATATATATGTAGTAATCAGACAAAACAAGTCCAATGCTTTTTGCATAAGTCCTAACAAAGTACGATGATGAATATGGAATATGTTTTAGAGAAAATACAATCAAATCTTTCTGCCATTAAACGTTGTTCAACTCTAACGTAGTTATTAACGCAGTAAACCGTAGTTTGATCGTATTGCCATGTTACCACAGTGCAGAAGGGTCAATTACGGTCTACTAGGGAGAACTAGGGTCAAAAACGTTCACACTACGGTAACAGTAGGGTCTTGGCATTCACGCTGACCGTAGATATGTTTTGAACATGTTGAATTTTTTTTAGTCCAACCACGGCAAATCATGGGTTTGCTGATTTTCAAAGTACGTCATAACTACGATGATCTACGTTGAACTACGCTTAAATACGTTTAACTATGTTTAGCTAAGGTCAAATACGGGTCTACTACGTCCATCCCCCACGGCGGTCAACTATGTGCGTGTCCGTGAGATGTGGCCGCCGTTTAAACGTGCTACTCTGCATCTGAAGCTATGGCCAGCTGCCTGAAACACGACTCATGATGCATGGGTCACCTGTTGGACACAGGTCATGGAGCCGTTTCTATACAAAATATCACAACGTAAGCGGAATGGGCACCACTGTTACTATCAAATACCTATCATACATATCTCTGAACACAGAAGATCAGTGATTACCAAATATCCCTGTTGGTGGTGTTGTCCTATGTTAAGAAAATATACGTGTTATTCTACTTACCTGTTCTACAACACGTCCAGTCTGTCGTATGAAGTCGTAGTAAGGTACTGTCAACAGCCAGAATATAAAGTTCTGAGATAATGTCACAGCACTGGAGTGTATGGCATTTTAACATTCAAATGCTTTTGAATATTCATAGATATTGTTCAATGTATTTTATTCGAATTAATGAGTATGTGTGTAATCAAACTATAACCGTGTCATCTATATGTATTTAATAGCATGAATATTGACAATGTTATAATTAAAACTGCACCTTATTATTACTGAAGTTGATTACATATTTATTCATTCATTCATTCATTCATTATATGGACTGGAGCGTCTGCACAACGACATAAGCTTAGCTTTTTTCTTGCTAAACGCTTCACATTCAGACAATGTGATGACGGTCTGTAAATATTCGACTCTGCACCAGACACTCAAGTGACCGATACTCTGAACAACAAACCAGGCCATTGGAATACAATGACTCAGTCAACCAAGTCAGCGAACCTGACCCATTAGTCGCCTCTGATGACAGGCACGTGGTTGATGAAAACCAATTCTAACCCGGATATCCACGTGTGGAATACAATGACTCAATCTACCAAGTCAGCGAGCCTGACCCATTAGTCGTCTCAGACAACAGGCACATGTGAAGAGCAATTCTAAACCGGAAATCCACGTGTTGGAATACAATGACTCGGTCAAGTAACTATGCGAACTTTACACATTAGTCGCCTCTGACGATAGGCACATGTGAAGAGCAATTCTAACCCGGATATCCACCTGTTGGAATACAATGACTCAGTCAACCAAGTCAGCAAACCTGACCTATTAGTCGCCCCTGACGACAGGCACATGTGAAGAGCAATTCTAACCCGGATATCGACGTGTTGGAATACAATGACTAGGTCAGCCAATTCAGCGAACCTGAGCCATTAGTCGCCTCTGACGACAGGCACGTGGTTGATGAAGGGCATTTTCAACCCGGATATCCACATGTTGGAATGCAATGACTCGGTCAACCAAGTCAGAGAACCTGTGCCATCAGTCGCCTCTGACGACAGGCACATGTGAAGAGCAATTCTAACCCGGATATGCACATGTTGGAATGCAATGATTTTGTCAACCAAGTCAGCGAGCCTGACCCATTAGTCGCTTCTGACGACAGGCACGCGGATGATGAAGAGCAATTCTAACCCGGATATCCACGTGTCGGAATACAATGACTCAGTCAACCAAGTCAGCGAGCCTGACCCATTAGTCGCCTTTGACGACAGGCACGTGGTTGATGAAAACCAATTCTAACCTGGATATCCACATGTTGGAATGCAATGACTCGGTCAACCAAGTCAGCGAGCCTGACCCATTAGTCGCCTCAGACGACAGGCACATGTGAAGAGCAATTCTAACCCGGATATCCACGTGTTGGAATACAATGACTCGGTCAACTAACTCAGCGAACTTTACACATTAGTCGCCTCTGACGACAGGCACATGCGAAGATCAATTCTAACCCGGATATCCACGTGTTGGAATGCAATGACTCAGTCAACTAAGGCAGCGAGCCTGACCCATAAGTCGCCTCTGACGACAGACACATGTGAAGAGCAATTCTAACCCGGATATCCACGTGTTGGAATACAATGACTCGGTCAACTAAGGCAGCGAGCCTGACCCATAAGTCGCCTCTGACGACAGGCACATGTGAAGAGCAATTCTAACCTGGATATCCACGTGTTGGAATACAATGACTAGGTCAACCAAGTCAGCAAACCTGACCTATTAGTCGTCCCTGACGACAGGCACATGTGAAGAGCAATTCTAACCCGGATATCGACGTGTTGGAATACAATGACTCGGTCAGCGAACCTGAGCCATTAGTCGCCTCTGACGACAGGCACGTGGTTGATGAAGGGCATTTCCAACCCGGATATCAACATGTTGAAATGCAATGACTCGGTCAACCAAGTCAGAGAACCTGCGCCATTAGTCGCCTCTGACGACAGGCACATGTGAAGAGCAATTCTAACCCGGATATGCACGTGTTGGAATGCAATCATTTTGTCAACCAAGTCAGCGAGCCTGACCCATTAGTCGCCTCTGACGACAGGCACGCGGATGATGAAGAGCAATTCTAACCCGGATATCCACGTGTTGGAATGGAATGACTCGGTCAACCAAGTCAGTGAACTTGACCCATTAGTCGCCTCTGACGATAGGCACATGTGAAGAGCAATTCTTACCCGAATATCCACGTGTTGGAATGCAATGACTTGATCAACCAAGTCAGCGAACTTGACACATTAGTTGCCTCTAACGATAGGCACATGTGGAGAGCAATTATAATCCTGATATCCACATGTTGGAATACAATGACTTGGTCAATCAAGTCAGCGAACTTGACCCATTAGTCGCCTCTGACGATAGGCACATGTGAATAGTAATTCTAACCCGGATAACCACATGTTGGAATGCAATGACTAGGTAAACCAAGTCAGCGAACTTTACACATTAGTCGCCTCTGACGATAGACACATGTGAAGAGCAATAACCCGGATATCCACGTGTTGGAATTCAATGACTCAGTCAACCAAGTCAGCGAGCCTGACCCATTAGTCCCCTCTGACGACAGGCACATGTGAAGAGTAATTCTAACCCTGATATCCACGTGTTGGAATGCAAAAACTTGGTCAACCAAGTCAGCGAACATTACACACTATTCGCCTCTGACGATAGGCACATGTGTAGAGCAATTCTAACCCGGATATCCACGTGTTGAAATACAATGACTCGGTCAACCAAGTCAGCAAACTTTACACATTAGTCGCCTCTAACGACAGGCACATGTGAAGAGTAATTCTTACCCGGATAACCACATGTTAGAATGCAATGACTAGGTAAACCAAGTCAGCGAACTTTACACATTAGTCGCCTCTGACGATAGGCACATGTGAAGAGCAATTCTAACCCGGATATCCTCGTGTTGGAATACAATGACTCAGTCAACCAAGTCAGCGAGCCTGACCCATTAGTCGCCTTTGACGACAGGCACGTGGTTGATGAAAACCAATTCTAACCGGGATATCCACGTGTTGGAATGCAATGACTCGGTCAACCAAGTCAGCGAACCTGACCCATTAGTCGCCTCAGACGACAGGCACATGTGAAGAGCAATTCTAACCGGGAAATCCACGTGTTGGAATACAATGACTCGGTCAACTAACTCAGCGAACTTTACACATTAGTCGCCTCTGACGACAGGCACATGCGAAGATCAATTCTAACCCGGATATCCACGTGTTGGAATGCAATGACTCAGTCAACTAAGGCAGCGAGCCTGACCCATAAGTCGCCTCTGACGACAGACACATGTGAAGAGCAATTCTAACCCGGATATCCACGTGTTGGAATACAATGACTCGGTCAACTAAGGCAGCGAGCCTGACCCATAAGTCGCCTCTGACGACAGGCACATGTGAAGAGCAATTCTAACCTGGATATCCACGTGTTGGAATACAATGACTAGGTCAACCAAGTCAGCAAACCTGACCTATTAGTCGCCCCTGACGACAGGCACATGTGAAGAGCAATTCTAACCCGGATATCGACGTGTTGGAATACAATGACTCGGTCAGCCAGTTCAGCGAACCTGAGCCATTAGTCGCCTCTGACGACAGGCACGTGGTTCATGAAGGGCATTTCCAACCCGGATATCAACATGTTGAAATGCAATGACACGGTCAACCAAGTCAGAGAACCTGCGCCATTAGTCGCCTCTGACGACAGGCACATGTGAAGAGCAATTCTAACCCGGATATGCACGTGTTGGAATGCAATCATTTTGTCAACCAAGTCAGCGAGCCTGACCCATTAGTCGCCTCTGACGACAGGCACGCGGATGATGAAGAGCAATTCTAACCCGGATATCCACGGGTTGGAATGGAATGACTCAGTCAACTGAGGCAGCGAGCCTGACCCATAAGTCGCCTCTGACGACAGACACACGCGATGAGCAATTCTAACCCGGATATCCACATGTTGGAATACAATGACTCGGTCAACTAAGGCAGCGAGCCTGACCCATAAGTCGCCTCTGACGACAGGCACATGTGAAGAGCAATTCTAACCTGGATATCCACGTGTTGGAATACAATGACTAGGTCAACCAAGTCAGCAAACCTGACCTATTAGTCGCCCCTGACGACAGGCACATGTGAAGAGCAATTCTAACCCGGATATGCACGTGTTGGAATGCAATCATTTTGTCAACCAAGTCAGCGAGCCTGACCCATTAGTCGCCTCTGACGACAGGCACGCGGGTGATGAAGAGCAATTCTAACCCGGATAACCACGTGTTGGAATGGAATGACTCAGTCAACTAACTCAGCGAACTTTACACATTAGTTGCCTCTAACGATAGGCACATGTGAAGAGCAATTATAATCCTGATATCCACATGTTGGAATACAATGACTTGGTCAATCAAGTCAGCGGACTTGACACATTAGTCGCCTCTAACGATAGGCACATGTGGATAGCAATTATAATCCTGATATCCACGTGTTGGAATACAATGACTCAGTCAACTGAGGCAGTGAGCCTGACCCATAAGTCGCCTCTGACGACAGACACACGTGAAGAGCAATTATAACCCGGATATCCACGTGTTGGAATACAATGACTCAGTCAACTAAGTCAGCGAACTTTACACATTAGTCGCCTCTGACGATAGGCACATGTGAAGAACAATTCTAACCTGGATATCCACGTGTTGGAATACAATGACTCAATCTACCAAGTCAGCGAGCCTGACCCATTAGTCGTCTCAGACGACAGGCACATGTGAAGAGCAATTCTAACCCGGAAATCCACGTGTTGGAATACAATGACTCGGTCAAGTAACTATGCGAACTTTACACATTAGTCGCCTCTGACGATAGGCACATGTGAAGAGCAATTCTAACCCGGATATCCACCTGTTGGAATACAATGACTCAGTCAACCAAGTCAGCAAACCTGACCTATTAGTCGCCCCTGACGACAGGCACATGTGAAGAGCAATTCTAACCCGGATATCGACGTGTTGGAATACAATGACTAGGTCAGCCAATTCAGCGAACCTGAGCCATTAGTCGCCTCTGACGACAGGCACGTGGTTGATGAAGGGCATTTTCAACCCGGATATCCACATGTTGGAATGCAATGACTCGGTCAACCAAGTCAGAGAACCTGTGCCATCAGTCGCCTCTGACGACAGGCACATGTGAAGAGCAATTCTAACCCGGATATGCACATGTTGGAATGCAATGATTTTGTCAACCAAGTCAGCGAGCCTGACCCATTAGTCGCTTCTGACGACAGGCACGTGGATGATGAAGAGCAATTATAACCCGGATATCCACATGTTGGAATGCAATGACTCTGTCAACCAAGTCAGCGAACTTTACACATTAGTCGCCTCTGACGATAGTCACATGTGAAGTGCAATTCTGACCGGGATATCCACGTGTTGGAATACAATCACTCAGTCAACCAAGTCAGCGGACCTTACCCATAAGTCGCCTCTGACGATAGGCACATGTGAAGAGCAATTCTAACCCGGATATCCACGTGTTGGAATACAATGACTCAGTCAACTAACTCAGCGAACTTTATACATTAGTCGCCTCTGACGATAGGCACATGTGTAGAGCAATTCTAACCCGGATATCCACGTGTTGAAATACAATGACTCGGTCAACCAAGTCAGCAAACTTTACACATTAGTCGCCTCTGACGACAGGCACATGTGAAGAGTAATTCTAACCCGGATAACCACATGTTAGAATGCAATGACTAGGTAAACCAAGTCAGCGATCTTTACACATTAGTCGCCTCTGACGATAGGCACATGTGAAGAGCAATTATAACCCTGATATCCACGTGTTGAAATGCAATGACTCAGTCAACCAAGTCAGCGAGCCTGACCCATTAGTCGCCTCTTACTACGAACATGGGTTGATGCGGACCAATTCTAACCCGGATATCCTCGTGTTGGAATACAATGACTCGGTCAACCAAGTCAGCGAACCTGACCCATTAGTCGCTTCTGACGACAGGCACGTGGTTGATGAAGAGCAATTCTAAGCCGGATATCCACATGTTGGAATGCAATGACTCGGTCAACCAAGTCAGCGAACTTGACACATTAGTCGCCTCTGACGATAGGCACATGTGAAGAGCAATTCTAACCCGGATATCCACGTGTTGGAATACAATGACTCGGTCAACCAATACAGCGAACTTGACACATTACTCGCCTCTGACCACAGGCATGGGTTGATTAGGACCATTTCTAACCCGGATATCCACGTGTTGGAATACAATGACTCAGTCAACCAAGTCAGCGAGCCTGACCCATTAGTCCCCTCTGACGATAGGCACATGTGAAGAGCAATTCTAACCCTGATATCCACTTGTTGGAATACAATGACTCAGTCAACCAAGTCAGCGAGCCTGACCCATTAGTCGCCTCTGACGACAGGCACGTGGTTGCTGAAGACCAATTCTAACCCGGATATCCACGTGTTGGAATACAATGACTCGGTCAACCAAGTCAGCGAGCCTGACCCATTAGTCGCCTCTGACGACAGGCACGTGGTTGATGAAGAGCAATTCTAACCACGTGTCATCCATAGTGCCCTGGTCACCCAAGTCAATGAGATTGACCACCGATCCATTTAGTCGCTTATTGTTAAGGATCAGAAGAACTACCCCGATGTTCCTCACATGGCAAAATGCACTGTGAGCAGGTAGAAGAATAGAAGACCGCCCAAGCCAAAAGACAGTTACAGAATACGTTCCATTAAAATGAAAATGGTTAACTTCCAATTAAATCACTTCCTATGTGAAAGTTGACCTCAAGTGACTGACAACACAGAAAGTGTTGCAAAAGCGAAAACGACACATTTCCTCACATTTTGCCGTTTTGTAAACTATTCTATTGCTTATCTTGGTTCACAATGGTCCAGATCAGAATCGTACATATATTTCACATATTCGGTTGTCAATTAGAGAAGGTTTGAAGCTTATATAGTCACATAACGATGAGCTGAAGCGGGTATGGATGCTGCGACATAATTAAATATCTGGCAACAGTGTAATCAGTTTACATTTAGTATATAATGCATTATTATCAAATATTTCCCTGGCTCTTCTACGAAGGACTGAAAATCAAATTAATAAATGTTTGAATATCGTTCCGTAGATCTCTCTATCTCTCATGTGAATGTATTGACAAAGTCTGTTGAGTATTACTGAATAGAGTTACAGAAGGATGTCTTCGCTCGAACTGTACTTGAGGTACCTGGTCGTGAATAAATGACTTACCAATAGTAAAATTAGCCATTTTGCAATGGACTTGAAGCTGATAAAAAACTATCAAAGAAAGGATTTGCGTTCATGTTTATTTTATTTACATATTCTCTCTCTCTCTCTCTCTCTCTCTCTCTCTCTCTCTCTCTCTCTCTCACACACACACACACACACACACACACAAACGTTCAACTCACTCACTCCCTCACTTGGCAATCGAGAAAGACTCTAAATTGCTTTACTTCAATGTCAAATGTCATGTTGACATTCATTCATCTGTTGTTCATTGTATTCCCAATGGATTTAAATCCCCGGGCCTTCTGTTGTTAACTGCTCTATCCGCGCTTCAATGGCTGCACGGTCACAAAACATTGAATGTTACATGCAGCTGCATTATTGACTGATCCGTTCGCAGTTTGTCAACCCATGCAAACGATTCATTGAGGCTTTTGACAGCCTTGCAATTTCATTTGTACTCCACCAACCATAAAACTGGGAGTTATCTGGAGTTATCACTAAATTTCTAAATCTATGAGCGTACGTGTGTATATGTCTCTCTGTAGTGAAACACTACCTAAAGCCAGTTATATTACCTATTACCAGTTATATGTGTGAATACGATAACGTATTCGGGTTTAATAACATCCCTGATAGTACTGTTGTCATTGTAATTATAGTTTAATTGTCTGCATGTGCAGAATACTGTTCTGCAATTGCTAAATCTATTTGATTGTTTCCCACATCCAGCCTAGCCATACTGCGAATGTTTCTTCTTAATGTGTGTCTTCCTCTGATTGTATTCATGATGAATTCATGCTGACTCATCAATTACATTGTGAGTGAGTGAGTTTAGTTTTACGCCGCTTTTAGCAATATTCCAGCAATGACAAGGCGGGGCACACCAGAAATAGGCTTCACACAAAATGCCCTTGTGGGGAATCGAACCCGGGCCATCGGCGTGACGAGTCAACACCCTAACCACTAGCCTACCCAACCTCCCCAATTCCATTGTGAGCTTCAAATATGATTTGTATCCAATTAATACAACATTAATGGGATACAAATCCATGGAAATATGTTTTCTTATTTTCGTTATGTAGCCTACATGGGTGAGATTGTTCTTAATACAATGACATTTATTGTCTTACTTTTGTTCACAAGAGGTTATCACCATGACTACGAGAACAGCCGCCCTCCTCACGTAAACGTGTGGACTGGCATAAACAGTTGGCCGTCCACGTCATACGCTATAGCTTTGAGGATTTTAAACAGATCGGTTTCTAAGATATGAGAGTCGCAGATACATTGAAATGCTCGCCGCCTAGTACCCACCGCGAAGTGTTTATTATTGTTATGGCATAAACAGGCAGCCGTACATTCCTTACGCTGTACAGCTGACAGTCGGAGCATATCAACACACGGTTACCGAAACTCGAGGTAAGTGAGGTCACTCAAATGTTTGTTTGTTTGTTTTTATCAGTGAAATGTTTATGAAGCTTATTTTATAAATAGTCTGCAGTATATAACCTCGTTATAAGCTGCTACCTCATGATGATTTTAACCACAGGTCGCTTACTAGGAAGTGAGATAAGCAGATACGCTGAAACGTTCCCTGCATGGTTTTACCTATCAGGGTTTTAACACTGCGAAACAAAATTGTGTTGTTCCGTGTTTAACATACAGTATCATTTACTCTACAGCTACCTGGCACGCAGTGTTGGCCATGACAGCACTCTACCGGCGTCTGTGTGTTGTTGTTTGCGGTGAGTGCTTTTACATTGTTTGTAAGCAAGGTAACCAGTAAACACTGCACCACATGGAACAATCTATTCATTGCTTGGTTCAGCTTCAGGGAGATCTACTATATATTTTAATACGATAACTGCAATTAACTGAAGGCCATTTAATCCATTCAGGGAAACAGGAGTGAATAAGATACAAGTTATGGTCATGTCGACATTGTTATGTGTTTTTACCACTTTGGCATATTGTGCAACACTCAAATCATATTCGATTGCTGATCTGTCCTTTTGTTTGGTTTGTTTGTTGTTTAACGCCGCACTCAGCAATATTCCAGCTATATGGCGGTGGTCTGTAAATAGTAGAGTCTGGACCAGACAATCCAGTGATCAACATCATGAACATCGATCTACGCAGTTGGGATACGATGACATGTGTCAACCAAGTAAGCGAGCCAGATCACCCGTTACGACAAGCATGGCTTTTTGAAGATTAATTCTAACCCGAATTATCACGGGTGATCAATCCATTCACTATATACCGCGTTCCAGTCGTTTGTCATGAGGCTATTTCTGTTTAATACTGGTACTTTAGTGACACACTTGTGATGATACACAGGCCACTCAGATGTTATAGACCGAGGAGTAGAACAGTGATTCCAGCATTATTTCTGAATAATATTTTTGATACAATTTTAGTTTTCAGAATAGCATTTGTTTCACTGCATTGTACAATAATTATTATGATACAGTACTGGGTGGTTCTGAGTATCAGAATGTACATCTAAGATATAAAACGCATTTAAAAGGTCCCTGTCCCGACGAATAATCCTTACTAACGTATTACCAAATTCTGACCTGTATTGTGGTGACGTGGTGTCCTGTGCACGAAGCTCAGGTCACAAATCGGTCAAGTTAAGCAGGGTCGAGCTCGGGGAATCCTTGGATGTGTGACCGTGTTTGGCAGCTTGACTCCTGAGAGTTTCTAAAAACTGTCCTGATCCACAACGAAGCACATGTTATACATGTGGTCTCACCTTAGACAAGTGAGTTTTATTCAAAATTGCCTCTGTTCACCCAGCAGGAAAATGGGTACCCGGTGGAAAATGTCATGTGACTATAACCTTCTAGCGCCTAACAGGCAGCTTGGGTTATCCAGGGTAATAATGTGCTGTGCTATTGATTGTTAGTGCTATGAGCAAACCTGGTGTGGAGTTTGGCGCTATATAAATGGACACATTACTATAGCATGAATATTCAACAGGTATAATGACAATGATGGACACAATGTTAGGGGATTATAAAACTTGTGAAACATTTCCTAATACATATCAAAGGCTTATAATGTTTAGCCTTAGCACGTGTGGCCTTATCTTTTTCCTGTTGTTTTGTTTCTTTAGTTCTGCTGGCGAAAGTCGCATCTGCAGTGAGAGTAGACGTCGAGTGTAAATGGGAACGAGAAAGTAAACAGCTGTATTCAGTTTTCACGATGGACCTAAATATCAGCACTAAACATTTGATCAGCCTGAGTGCCCACAATGTCACTGTTCTGGATGACAGTGGCATTGTTACAAGTCAGTCTGGCAGTATTACAGACCAAGCTGGAATTCTAAGAGCAAGCCTCGACATTGAATGTAGTGATGCCCAACATATTCGATGCGAATCATTTGGAATGGCTTACGACAAAACATCATTCAATAACCTGACCATCACACCGCACCTGGAATTTAATGGTGAGACACAACTGACCGATTCCACTTAGCACTGAGTTCATGGAAGTTGGCTGGTTTTGTTGTTGTTTACGCCGCACTCAGCAATATTCCAGCTATATGGCGGCGGTCTGTATATAATCGAATCTGGACCAGACAATCCGGTGATGAGCCTCGGTATACGCAATTGGGATACAATGACATGTTTCAACCAAGTCAGCGATGCTGACCACCCGGTCTCGTCTTACGACAGACACAGGTTGCTGACCCGTGGATTTCATGGATGCGAAAACTAGCTAGAAGGATAACCACAATGTGCTTGTCCATGTCTGCCTGTCCAACTGGTAACGTTATTCACCAACGTATCGCTGAAATGACTTACTTGGTCAATAGCTATACTAAGATTTCACAACCATTACGACACTCGAGCTCAAAAGGTGTTTAATCTCGCTTTCAACACACACTGACTCAATGTAACTCGCCAACTATTTTTTCTCCAGATAAGAGGACAGCAATTCATCCTTTTACGCCCCCTTATCAGAGACATGGTTATGGCTGTTTGTGTCGCTTTTATTTATGCTATGTGTATATTTACGTGAAAGAGATCACACGAGATTATGCGAGAAGCGCCCGTCTATGCATTTTTTGAACGATTAGACATGGGTACAATATGTGCAGCCCTTTTCCGGTGTCCCCCCGATGTGATATTGATGGAACATTAAAAGCGGCGTAAAAGTAAACTCACTCACTTATTGTATATCTCTATCTCGATGTAAGAGGCATGTATGAATTAAAATAAGATATTCTTTAATCATCAACACCGGTTTTACGTTAAGATGTAATGTTGCTATGTTTTCACGTTGTAGTTGCTGCAAGAGGCGTTTCAGTCACACAGACGCCTTTAAAGGAGACCTACGGCGTAGGCGACGTCATACTGCTCACGTGTTCTGCGGTGTTTGGGGTTAACAGAACAAGGCTACGATGGATGATCAGTCACTCAAATACACCATCGACAGATACACACGTTCCTGTTCCTGTTGACAGTCCTCAAGCAAATAGTTTGACACTTGCAGACTGCTCCTTCCATGTTGTCAGCAAATATGTACACGTGCCCACTGAACATGGGGACATAACTCTAACATGTTTTGCTGAAAATACATCTGAGTCCACTTCTCTCACCATCAGAAGTGGCAATGGTTTGTCATTTTTAACATTTATACAATGCCTCAATGTTCTGACCATAACTTTGTTAATTTACAATTTTGTGTTTGTTTGTTGTTTAACGCCACACTCAGCAATATTCCAGCTATATGACTGCAGTCTGTAATAATCGAATCTGGACCAGACAGTGATCAACTTCATGAGCATCCACTTGCATGACATGTGTCTGGACAGGACAATCCAGTGATCAACAGCATGAGCATCGATCTACGCAAATGGGATACCATGACATGTGTCATCCAAGTCAACGACCCTGACCACCCCATCCCGTTAGTCGCCTGTTAGGACAAGCATGGGTTGCTGAAGACCAATTCTACTTACCCATTTGTGACCAGATGTCACTGATGTTCAGTTATCCATTCATACCAAGTTTCACGGCTCTTTTGCTTCGTCGGATAATCGACATTGGTTATTATCAAGCGTTGACGATTTATATATATATTTGAATATGTACATTCATGTATCCTTCGGATGTCATAAGCTTTAGTTTCATGGCACCGAAATATATTAGATATGTTATGATCGTGCGTACTGACATCATGTTCCTAATGTTTCAATGTGTCAGTTATCAAAATCTACCTGTATCTACATGTATAAATAAGTAAGTATGCACTGTTACATTTCTATTTCCAGATAATCACAGCACCCATCTGTTTCTCTCGAGTATGCTTGTGTACACGCATTTCATCATCTTACCATGCATATTTGCTCTGTTTGGTGACAAAGTAACTTTCCGAGAACCAGGTAGGAATATATGAAGAAACGTACCTGTTCTTGAATATCACAACTTCGCGCAGAGAATTGAAATGTGTTGTCAAGGTTCTTCATCTTGAGTCAGTCTCCAGATATAATTTTGTATGATGATTATCTTTAGGTATTAGTCATGATTATTTTGTGTTTTGCAGGGAAAGTGTGTATGCGCAGATTTCGGACTGCTATCTCATTTCTTGTTGGCCTCACATTCTTCATATGGTGGATGATTGTACTCCGAGACCATCATCTCAGATCATTAGGTTAGTGATTCTGATTTGTCTGGCAACCATAATTTCCAAACAAAATATTCTTGTTATCAAAATTGTTTTAATTGATGTGTTTTTTTCTTAACATGTGTTTTCCTTTACGCAGGTTATTTCATGTGTGCTGTGATAGAATTTATCTTCATATTGGGCTACACCCTAACGAGGTTCTCTGCAAACTTGTCGAAGCGCTTCGAGAAAAAATGTAAGATTTCTACAGTTAACAATGGCCTTGTATATGAAACGTGGTACTGTTTCCAAAACCTATCAACTACACGCTGAACGAAATTCTCCCAAGGCATTTAGAAGTTGGTGAAGTGATACAAAACAAATGTTATGGATAAAAACTTCATCTTTATTTGTTTCTCACGACGTTTCTGGGCTAGTTCTTGTCCCTTCTTCAATATCCACTTGGAGAACCATGACAGCACATTTCAATATCCACCTGAAGAAAGGGCAAGGACTAGCCCAGAAACGTCGTGAGATCCACCCGAAGAAAGGGCAAGGACTAGCCCAGAAATGTTGTGAGATCCACCTGAAGAAAGGGAAAGGACTAGCCCAGAAACGTCGTGAGAAACAAATAAAGAATAACGTTGTTATAAATAACATTTGTCTTGTAATACACGCTGAACCTTTACCCGAACTTGAGTGAGTAGGGGTTTACACCGCGTTTAGCAATATCCCAGCAATATCACGTTGGGGACACCAGAAATGGGCTTCACACATTGTACCCATGTAGGGAATCGGACCCGGAGCTTCAGCGTGACGAGCGGACGCTTTTACCATTAGTTTACGTCACCGCCCCTTTGCGAATTATAACTATAACATCTTTAGTCGCGTTATCGTTTTGAGTGAAAATAGCCTCCAACTCACTGTGTAAGACAAATTCGTTGATTTATATTGCCAATATTGATGGATTATACTCACGGAGTTGGAGGAGGGGGAGTGTCACGGTGCAGAGATTTATATTAGATCCAATTTAGATGATTTCAATATTCTTTAGTACATAGAATCTTGGCAACAAACCTACTTTTGTTTGAGATGGGATATGTAGAGAGTAAGTTATGTTCATTTTGTACATATTTACCAGAAAGCGGAATTCATCTCTTTTACGACTGTCCAAATTCTATAAGCATATGGAATCAACTTTTCACTTGGATAAGAACAAGAACAGATATCATTGAACACTGAATATCGATAAAAAGTAGATCATATTTGGATTTTCTGAAAAAAGAACGAAGTCCCTAATCTCCTGATAACAGTTGTCAAATTTACTCTTTTTAAAATACGCATATATACATGTACGCCAGCTTTCGATATGATCAGAAAGGAAATAAGTAAAGTTTACAATGTCGAGAAAAAACATGCAATGTCTTCTTGTATTTTTACCAAATTTACGGGTCCGATTGCCATAAATTGTTTGATTGATATTAACTTAGACCCTGCTTATTTTCTTACAATGGAATCCGTTGTAATATGCTTGTCAATGTGGGATATGCCAAGATCTGTAAACAAATGCATGATTTTATATTTTGCTGTTATTTGATGTCATGATTTTGTACCTAAAAATGGATGATAAAAATAAAGACCCGTGCACATTTGCTGACTCATACATTTGATGTGTACAGATCAGAGATATTTGCACAACTTGAGAGTAGCCACTTCCTATGGAGCCACCATGACGCCGACTATATGCTGGATCATGATAAAGTGTTATGGAGGCACCAGCATCATAGGACTTGGTAGGTGCAGATGTCTTCGCTTCATCTGTTTACAGATTGCTTAATGGAAACATTGCTTTAATTTTGCTGTAGATTCTTCTTCTAAAATTCCGGCCAAACAATTAACATTGCTTCATTCTCTTTGTTTGTTTGTTGTTTAATGCCGCACTCAGCAATACACAAGCCATATGGCGGCTGCATGTAAGTTATCGAGTCTGGACCACACAATCCAGTGATGAACATCCTGAGCATTGATCTATACAATTGGGATACGATGACATGTTACAACCAAGTCAGCGATCCTGGCCACCCGACCCCGTTAGTGGCCTCCCATCAGTATTTCTGATCAAACCTAATAATCAGATCCTCAAAATACATAATGCTAATGGAAGCTGTTGAGCCGTATATATTGCTATTACATTGTCTCCATTAAATACAATTTCAGAGATCTTTTTCTGGATGGTGACGATCGGATGTTTTACCGGATTTGTTTGCGTCTCAAAGAGTCGAGAGGGAAAGTATTGGGAGATAAAATATTACTGACGTGCATGAAGTTGAAATTTGATAAAGTGATGTGGCTGTGAATGGCATGTGAATGCATGGACAAAGTCAGATTATTACTGAATATAGTCACAGAAGGATGTCTTCTCTCTAACTGTATTTAAGGTACCTTGTCGTCAATAAAGTGTAAAGTACCTGAAAACGTTGACTTGCCTGTAGTACAATTAGCTATTTTGCAATGGCCATGAAGTTGATAGAGAACTACCAAAGAAGGGATTTGCATTAATGTTTATTTACATATTCACACACACACACGCGCGCGCGCACACACACACACATATGCATCGGGAGACTTCTAGTATGTAATAGTTGGTCTTTTTATGTGAACTCCACACCGATGTATGCAATGAGTGGTTCTTGCTAGGTGGATTCATGTCCTCAACATGGATATTCATTTGGTAGTTTTACCTAGTTCAAATTGAAAATATGCTTATGGCTTGTTTGAAAGTGATGACATGAGAAGTCAAATAATAATAGTCACAGCAATGACTTTTAGTCCATTGGATAAATTGAAAATGAATCCGTTACACGATATTTAGCTTCCTGACAAGGATCTATCCATGAACCTCGTTCGAACAGTTAATAATGACATTTTTCGTACAGAGTGCCTTATGTTATCGCGGGAATCTATTAATTTCTATTAAATTCTCTTATCCCATGTCTTCCATTCTCTCTTGTTGGAAACAGAGACGAAGGCGATGAGCGATCCGACGGTGAAAATCAACTAGACAATTTCTGCAACTACATAACATGTTTCTGTTTATGCATGAAGAAGGTGAACTTAAATCTTCGTTACTGTAGTGTTACTATTATTAAAGTTACATTTAATATATTACTACAATTATCGAATATAATTTGACCTTTGTACACGTTTATGATATTGTACGTGTATAATACCTTGTGTAGAGACCTCCAGTTGCATCTCAGTTCTCATGATCATCCAACAAATACCTGGAGTTGTAACTGCCCCACAAGACAATGTCACTCGAGAGTTGTAGAGAAGTCTTTCATCTGCTGGGATAAATAGGCGAAACATATGATCATCCACTAAAGGGGCGGTGGGGTAGCCTAGTGGTTAAAGCGTTTGCTCGTCACGCCAAAGACCTGGGTTCGTTTTCCCAAAAGACACAATGTGTGAAGCCCATTTCTGGTGTCGCCGGCCGTGATATTGCTTGAATATTGATAAAGCGCGTTAAAACCAAACACGCTCACTCACTCATCCACTAAAATGAAACACGAAGGGTGCTTTGTTCGCCTTACAATTTGTAATAGCTAGGCAATACAACGTAAACCCTATACTATTGATCATCTATTCCGTTATCATTCATCCTATCTTGAGAGCGGTATATAAAAAAAGAAATTTTTTCTGCATCATGAGGTCATATTTTACACTTGACACCTTGTTAAAGAACACGTGGATGTTAATACTGTTAATATCAAATAAACCTGCAGATACGATGCAGCTGTTTCTTTAGATTCTCTAAACAATGTGGTTATTACGCGTCATACGATCCTGGAATCATGATCATTTGATAGTCTAGTATAGTCATTATCGCAACGTCACTAGTCAATCTTATAGAATCATGTTGAGACCACCACAGATTGTTTATTTAGATACAAGATCTAATTGTCATAACAAACCTCTCCGACGAAAAAAAGTTACCCTGAATTAGTAATGAATACGATAGAAACCGTCTGCGGGTCGAATAACCCCGGACACGGGTTTTACTCGTCATGACTGCTACCTACCGTCTTTCTCGAAGCCTTCTGGCAGCAGTCGGACACCAGCATAAAGAATGAAGAATACCGCTTCCATAACGAAAAAACACAGGAACCCTGGAAAACCATGGATTGATGTTTTAACAGTACGTCAATCTGTATACGATATATCGATTACTGAAAGTATCGAATATGCAATGCCCTTTAGAAAATGGTCAAATGTAACATGGTCAATTTAGGGTTAGAATTTCTGTAAAGCACAGATTGTAGTACTTTTTTTGTATGGTATATTCATAGTTTGAAGGAATGGCAGCCATGCAGATTTAGACTTGTCAGAGGGGTACACAAAGTACTTGACTTCGACTACTAATTATCAGACTTCCATTTTTGTGACAGCTGTGAAAATGTGGGTAAGATCGCTGACCTTGTGTGAGGGTGATTAGGTAGCTCTGTCTGAGAGTGTGGGTTCGAATACTCAACTAAATGTATTAGCACTTATGTACTAGTGCTATACTGATGGTGAGTTAGTGAGTGAGTATAGCTTTACGCGCCACTCGGCAATATTTTATGATAATATGTATATGACGGCGGTCTGTAAATAATCGAGTCTTGACCAGACAATAAAGTGATGAACAGCATGAGCATCGATCTACGCAATTGGGAACTGATGACGTGTGTCAAATATGTCAGCGAGCCTGACCACCCGATCCCGTTAGTCGCCTCTTACGACAGCCATGGGCTACTGAAGATCAATTCTAACGCGGATCTTCACTGGTCACTGTACTGAGAAAGTGTAAACCGAACTATAACATATGTTACACGTATCCACTCGCCAAATTGTCTCAATAGAACAGAAATCCAACATAGCACATATATACTTAGCAGCGTGAAAATTAGCAATAAAAACGTCAGTACGAATTCAAAATTAGATAGGCACTGTAATCAAATCATTACATAAATGGACATAATAAGCGGATCAAAGCCTTTTTGTGTACAATATCCTGACACATCAGTGAATAACTCAGCACAATTCCAAGACATTACGTTGGCAGACCATTCAGACTCTTGACTTCAGTATCTAGTGTGACCACCAAAGCGGCAATAACTGCAGAACAGCGTCTATGCATGGAGTGCACCAATCGATTGATGAAGGCCATTGGCACCTGGAATCACACTCTGAGATAGGCCTGGCGCAATAAATCGGCTGTGTTCGGCCTTGGTATGACATTATTCAGTCTCTTCTGAATTTCATCCCAAAGATGTTCAATTGGGTTTAAATAAGGACTAAGGGCTGGCCACCGCATAATGTTGACACCGTTCTGCTGTAGGAAGTCCCGTGTAGCTCGGGCAGTATTGGCCCGGGCGTTATCATGCTGGAAAATGATGTTCCGGCGAAATTTGGTATGACGTGGGGTCTGACAGCTTGGTCGATGTAGCGCACCGCTGTGATGCCGCCTCCTCTCCCTGGACCAAGGTTCTGGAACACCACAGGACCCACTCTCTGGTTCAGATTTATTCCACCCCATACCATGATGCTTGCACCTCCCCATGAGTCTCTTTCCATAACACATTGGTCTGAGTAACGCTGGCCACGTCGTCGCCATATTCTTGTTCTGCCATCTGCAGTTGGTACGCAGTACCGAATCTCATCTGTGAACAGAACAGTTCTCCATTGCCTGTATCACCAGTTTTGGTGTTGTAGGGCAAACTGTTCACGCCGATGACGAGGTGAGGATAGGTCAACGGTCAGGTCTACGGCAATGGAGGTTCCCGCTGTTAAGACGTCGGAGTACTGTATCAATACCGATTGGTCTTCCGTGTGTTCCCACTGTCTGGCGTGCTGTTTCGGATGCCTGCACGAAGGGATTCTGTACATGCTGTCGCACAACATGGCGGTCTTGTCGTCTTGTGGTCACCTTGGTCTGCCAGTAAGGGGGCGATCATTTGTGGTGTTGGTGGCCCGGAAACGTTGCTGCAGCCTGTAGATGGTCCGAATGCGGACCTGGAAGTGATTGGCAACGGCTTGTGCAGTGTGGCCAGCTTCAAGTCTTCCAAGCGCCTGGTTCCTCTCAGCTGTAATGAGTTGCGGCATCCTGCTGACGTTGTAATGTGAATGTTTCAACCAGGTTTGGGGGTGCATTTTATAGGGCTGGTCCTTGTGAACAGCAAGTGCAGCATGAGTTGCATGAAAAACATGGAGACCACCGTACCATCGCCGAGATCAGGTTGCGGTTTGGGGAAGGAATGTCATTGCTCAGGTAAGTTGGAGATGTTGTCAAAAATATACAATCAACACATTAAATGAGTTGACAGTTATCCGTTTCTGCAAAGGAAAATTCCAAACTGACGTACCTTTTGCTGCTTAGTATATATTATGTTAGTGTTGCCTTAGGTTACAAGTGTACACATATCAACGCCATCTTGTAATTGTTATTCTATTGTGTGTATGATATAAAGTACGACTTCTATTTTTTAAAGTTTACTTTAACATGTAATTACCTGGGGTGTGAGCATCAGGAATCACAATGCCCCACCATACAACAAAGATCAATCCTGTAAACAATGAAATGAAGGCTCTGCGCGTTCTGCTCCTCGTTGTTTCTGAAATATTAGGGAATAGGAAAATGAGTTATATGAAACCTTGAACTCAAAACTATACACGGGATGGAACGTTCAAAATGAAACTATACACCCATGTGTGATGGTGGCCGAAATTATTTTGTTTGTTTAATTGACGCTACACTCAGCAGTATCGTTACACAATCGAGCAGACAATCCAGTGATCAACAGCATGAGCATCGATCTACGCAATTGGGATATGATAAGATATGTCAACTTAGTCAGCGAGTCTGACCACCTGATCCCGCTTGTCACCTCTTACGACAAGTGGCGTTCGCACGTCACGCTGAAGACCCGGGTTCGATTCCCCACATGGGCAAAATGTGTGAAGCTCATTTCTGGAGTCCCCCGCCGTGATATCGCTGGAATATTGCTAAAAGCGGCGTAAACTAAACTCAATCAGTCAGTCTTACGACAAGCAATGGTTACTGAAGATCAATTCTAACCCGGATCTTCACGGCGGAAACTGATCAAAACAAAAAACTGATATTCGATGGTACATTTGTGAATATGAGGCACTGTCGGCAACAACTGATACAAATACAACTTCAATCCTGTCCTTAAGGCAGGGTGTGACAAAGAAAAAATATGTCTTACTCGGATCTCGGAAACTTTGAGGAATGACGTTTCTTGTCAGAAGGAAATCACGGAAAGGCGGCAGGAAGATAAAATGAGGGTACACCAAGATCCCCGTCGAGAAGAACAGATGGCTACTTAGAGTATATTCAGGTCCTGTCAATTAAAGTGTTTAATTAAAATATATATGCATACGCGTATGCATCGGTTTCACGGAAACATATTGGGATAAGATCAGCAATTATCTCACTCAACAATACATTATCAGTAATAGAAAGGTCATCAAGCAGAATTAGAACGATTATCAAAACTATTCTGGTCATCAAAATCTGTGTTCTTTCGAAACAATTAATGATACGTCCATTTCACATCAATATACTTTTACAAATAGACGGCTCGAAAAGAATATGGTTGACGTGTCAAATGATATCAAAATAAACCCAACCTTATCTTGCCCAGGGAAGAGGCTGGGTGTTGGAGTAGTGTCAGCTGTGTTCACTAGGCATACCAGAAACCTATGAGTCGTGAGTTCGAATCTCGGTTAACGCCTTTTATGTCGTATAAGACCATGCTTGATACGCACATGAATATTTATTGAAGGGTGGTGCTGCTCCATCGTGTATCCCTTGCGATGGAGGTATCATGGTCAAGTATGTCCTATCACCTGCTTGAGTGTATTGTTTTTCCTATTACTGTTCAAAGTTGTTAGGCTCAAATCACTTATTTAGTCACATCTAAAATCGTATTTTGCCCGTTAGGTTATTGATGCCAGGCTTGATATAGGTCCCAGTTTGTCCTGAAAGTTTATTAAATAACCATTGAAACTCTCGTGAAACCGGGTGAAAAAATGCACCCCACCCCCTTTCTCAAAAGTGTGACACACCCCACCCCCACCCCTCTCTCAAAAGTGTGACCCCCTTCTCCCAAAATGTGTATCCCCGTGGCATGTACAAGTGGTGTACAAGATGTATAATGGAAATGGGGTCTATCTTTTATTGGTTTGGACAACAAAAACACTGTGGAGGTATTGGTTTTAGTAACGCAATACATGTTAAGAGTCATACCTAGGTTAGTTTCTCCCACTTCCTGTAACCCAAACATACACTTGAACTGCGTGTGCCCTTTGCCTGCGTCCAGTCTCAGTTCACTAGAAACGTGCACATGACAACCAGATCTATCTCTCCTGGTGACAGTATAGGAACGAGGATCAGCTTTCCAGAACTTCTTGTCAGACGAACCAAATAGCCACCACATCTCTGTTGCTTTAGACCCAGCCAGCGCATGTCAGTACTGAGACGTATGTACTATCATTGGACAGAACTGTTCTGCTGGTAATAGATATATTGTCCACGCCGACTGAAATGAATAAGTGTTTGTTTGTCGTTAAACGCATTAACCCATTAATTTTCCAGTTATAAGACTGTAGTTCGTAAATAGTTGAGACTGGACCAGCCACTCCAGTGACTTATATCAAACGCATTGATCAACCCATTTGGGATAAACTGTTTGAGAGGCCTTCTAGAAGTTGTAAGTAATAGGAATGACAAGTCTTTATGGATGATCAACTCTTTTTATTGTACAATAACGACGTTTCGGCATAGATACCTATTCATGCGAAGTATCTCTACCGAACCGTCGCTATGGTACGATAAAGAAGTTGATCATCCACAAAGACTTGTCATTCCTACCACTTGGGATATGGCAACATGCATTAAACAAGTCGGTGAGACTGTCCACCCTTTTCAGACAAGCACAGGTTGCTGAAGATCAATTCAAGCACGAATATTCAGGGGGTAAATTGGACAAGTGGATTACAAGGTCCTTCTTACGAATCCTGTGTTTGCTGTCAATATTGTTGGTCATGGAGTTTTGTCGTGTCAATTTACTGAATTATTTAAATACTGTTTACGAGTGAAGATGGCATGGCATATGTCTTACCATCAAATTCAATCATCGGTTGGAATCGTTTAGTCTTGTAAGCAGAATCTGAGTAGCCATACAAAACACAAATATGGTACTTGCGAGTTCACATTCTATGTTAGCTGTCCCTCTTATATACACGTCTGTGTCTGTAAGTTGCCCGCTGATGTTGCTCAAGATGTATTTGTCGTTGGGAACAAATACCGGGTCTTTTTTGTTTTCCAGATGGGCAACTGTTACATTGGATACTTCGATAGAAATGTGGAAAATCTGAAATAGTCAGATGCTTGACAGTCCACGGTGGTCTGTACGGGCACCCCTACTGTAATCTGACATGTGCAAACTGAAATTGAAGTACCATTCATCAAAACACCAGGCCATACAGTATTATCCATGTGTGGTCCTGTGCGGAGAGCTCAGAACACAGATAAGTTGAAGTTAAGCAATGTTGAGCGCGGAGAGCCCTTGGATGGGTGACCGTGTTTGGCAGCTTGACTCCTGAGAGTTTCTAGGCATTCAGTCCTGCACCACAAAGAAGCACATGTGAATCATGTGGTCTCACCTTATGCAAGTGAGTTTCTTCAAACTTGCCTCTGTTCACCCAGCAGAAAATGGGTACCCGGTGGATATGTCATCTGACTATTAACCTTCTAGCTCCTCACAGGCAACTTGGGTTATCCGGGGTAATATTAATTGATTGTGATTGTGTAATACATTTTTGAGCATGCGCCTTGTACATGGAAATGCGCATCATAGATTTTTATATGTTATAGTAGCAAGGTCATTGCATTGGCACGTCAAGGACGCAATTATCTAGTGATATATTGCTATACTTACATATTGCACACAAGGCTGTCAAACCAGTAGACCCACTTGTGATTGTCATGCTGTCTGAAGCATAGAACATTCGTATATGTGAAACAGTTACTGTATGTGGACATTATCATGGCAGCAGTATCTATTATATACGTCAATCATCTGAGTCATTTAACACATAAATATGTACATTTCTATACAATGCCATCATATTCCTATTGCGTTGATCGATGCTCATGATGCTGATCACTGGATTGTCTGGTCCAGACGCGATTACCTACATACCGCCGCGATATAGCTGGGACATTACTGAGTGCGGCGTTAAACAACAACCGAACACACCTCTTACACAAGCATGCTACACATACACAAGGAAGACATAATAACTATAGAAACTTCATAAATACAAACTTACAGTCATTCCAAGCATAATCAGACGCAGTATCGATACTGTATATCAATGACTTTGAAGGTGACCTCAGTAAATGGGGACAGATCGATTGTACCCAGGTGGCCTAATGTTTTAGGCGTTGCGCTGAATGAAGTATACATATATCAGACAGGTCACGCACGGGGGCGTTACAGTACGTACCTCATAGATTATTCATTTTCTTATCTTATGTATAAGCTTGTATGTCTCAACTACATGTCATGATGACCCAGTCAAATAGACATTTGCGGACAATGCACAAGCGCCCACGCGTGTATGTACACACTCATCTTCAGGCATGAAACGCACCTACTCTCACATAAACATTAGTTATATATGTCACCTCCGTGACACACTGTTTCGGTGTCAAAATGTTGAGAACTGTCTGGCATGCGTGATCTTGATCACTGTTCGCGGATTCCGCCTTGGAGGCTGTCAAGGCTCTGAGTGGGATAATAAATCTTCTACATGTTATTTACCAGTCAGTGAAATTCCCAAGGGGCGTCGGCTGTTTCGAAGCATTGTTTGCAAACAATTGCCGATCACCATAACACCGGTAGAGAAGTTCCTGGTACAGTGAGCACACCGTAGCTGAAGACCAATCTATGTCGATGAGACTCTATTTTTGTCCTAAACATGAGCACTAAGAAACAACACTAAACAAGACAAGATAATAATTGCTATCAAATGTATGATAAATAGCCCGAATACGGAAAGTCGTTGGTGTCAATTCCGCCGGATAATATCCCCGTTAATTAATCCCGCTTGGCGGTGACTGGGTGTTTAATCATGTCACGTGACCTAGCGCCATCTGGGCCAAGATTCGTGAAGCGGGACGCTACAGCAAGCACGTGCATGTGTACGGCTAGTGGTCAACACGTTGGTCAATTAGTGGACTGGACGTTGGTCAATTAGTGTCATCGACGGTTTGTTATGTGATGGAATATTTGCAGCAGAAACTGATAGGTCGAAAGGTTCCTGATGAATGTAACGTCAGCACCTGCTGAATATATCGTGGTCACCTGCTGAATATATTGTCGTCACCAGCTGAATATTTCGCCGTCAACTGCTAATATATCCACCCAGAAATATAGTACACTGTTCTTTGGATCTCCCGTATCCATATAACGTCGAAATATCTAAATGACACTTTATATATGCAGACAAATAATCACTTCATTTATTGCTCTTTTCTGTATTCATTGCTATCAAATTATCTTTATAATTTCGTTTATTTTTCGTCAAATTGGATAGCATTTAGGTTTTTTGTTATCAATATTAAGTCAACATTTATGTTATTGTTTATGATATTTAGTCAATGCTTCATTGATATTTCGTTTATACTTAGTGAGTGAGTGAGTGAGGTTAGTTGTACGCCGCACTCAGCAATATCGTTTATACTTAGTGTATATTTAGTTAATTGTTAGGGAATATTTCTTTTATTAGTTAAATTTAATAACTGGGTTCATAAATATCTCATGTCAATGTTTCGAAAGTTGAAGCGTTGGACTTGGTTAAAGGTTCAAGCGTTTGCTGGTCACACCGGAAGCATGGGTTCGAACTCACATGTGTGTACAATGTTCGAAGCCCATTTCTGGTCTTTCTATAAGCGGCACAAAACAGTCTTCATTTATTTGAATAGTAGTTAACTAGAGCGTCTAGAAAGGATTTCCAGAAAGGATCTTGTATAATGGGCATATGTGTTTTTGATCATGTTCATTTACACTAATTTAATAAAGTTTAGTATAATTTTGAAAAAATAAGAAGAAAAGAAAGAAAGATAATAATTGTTATAAGATAATAGTAAAAGGGACATTTATGTGGCGCTGAACTCTAAACAGATGGACATAAGTCTGTCCTTTCAGGACCCTTGAAGGTCCGGGTTAGAATATTGATCTTCAGTAACCCATGCTTGTCGTAAGAGGCGACTAACGGGAACGAGTGGTCAGGCTCGCTGACTTGGTTGACACATGTCATTGGTTCCCAATTGCGCAGATCGATGCTCATGCTGTTGACCACTGGATTGTCTGGTCCAGACTCGATTATTTACAGACCGCCGCCATATAGCTGGATAATTGCTCAGTGCGGCGTAAATCTCCCTCCCTCCCTCACTGTCCTTTCAGAAGGTTACACACCTTTTCTTGCATACGTATATAGTTATGATGTTACAACAGCGACATCGAGGGTGACGACAATATAACTTTGAGCATGTAGCTGGATCTCCGTAGACTTCGGTTACAGCACGTGGATAAATACGTGCAAATGGAAATAATGTTTTAGGATATTTTGGGAAAGAAAGTCTTTGATAAACAGTGGCATCTAATCCACTCAAGCTGGAGATGAGTATTTTACTCATCAATAGGAAATACATGTCGCCTCTACTAGGAAGGCAGAAGCCAGTTATTCTACGAACAATTCTACTACATTCTGGAAAGCTCTCTATTCCATCACTTTGCTAAACGCGAAGCCCCGGTTTAAAATTTGTTTTATGGACAAAATTACTGTCTCGTCTGGTCCAATACACGTATGTTTACAGACTGATGTTATAAAGTTTGAGTATTGCTGAGTGTGGCATTAACCAACAAACAAAGCATTACAGTCTGTAGTTTTAATGATATCATTTTTATCTCAGTGTCTCTTCATGCTTTGGGCAGTAAGGTACCCTAGTGGTTAAAGGGTTCGCTCGTCACTCCTAAGACCCGGGTTCGATTCACCACAAGGGTACAATGTGTTAAGTCCTTTTCTGGTGACCCCGTCGTAATATTGCTGGAATATTGCCAAAAGCGGCGTAAAACTAAACTTGCTCACTCACTCTTCATGATTTAGAAATTATTGTAGTATCACAGAGAGGGGATTCAAACCCACGGTTGCAAGATACATCCAACTCAGGGCAACACATGTCTGGCTGCCTTCCAACAAACTTCACATTGTGCAGTGTTGTAACAGGCTGGGTCATAATGACCTTGATATACTTTATACCAATTACTGGGCCTCCACATATGTACTGTATAGGTTTAAAGGTATCAAGGACGCAATACTTAGGCCCTGTTCATTTGAAAGCGTTGCCACAGTTGCCAATAAAATGCTCACCTCAAGTAACTCTCACACATCACCTATTAGTTATTCGCGTTCCAATCATTATTCGTCAATTGCTTGACTTGCATAATTCATATTCAAGTCGTACGCCAATCTTGTCAATATTTCTTCAGTGGTATGGTATTCCCAACTATTGTTATGACAAAGTAATATCATATATTGATGACAGCACACAATAGTCCTGAAGAGGACTGAGACATCGATCTATACAACTTAACAATAACGCATCTGTTAGGCAAACGTTGCTGGGGCACATCTGCAATCCAGAACCCGCGAAAGCAATAAAGTACGGTGGTCTTAAAGAGACCCAAGAGCAGAAATCTATTAAAACACACGCACACGCACACGCACACGCACACTCACATGCACACGCAATCCCCATCAATCCAATCCAGTTTTCAACAGTGAATTTAAGAAATCAGGTTGGGAATGAATCTCATCAAGATTTTGACATCGAAGATGGATACCCCACTGCAAACAGCCTTTGTTATGTATTGCAAATGCCGAGCGCCAACCATGGTAAGAAAAAAGTACATGTACCTTCTTTTATGGTTTGCTGGAATGGTAGCCACGGGATCGACGACCAACCTTGCGCTCTCCATGCAGAGGCGCAGTCCACGATACCATGTAAGCGGCGTCATATGAGTGGATGAAACACTCACCGGCTCAAACACTGAAACAGTATGTATGTGTATTAATATAGCACCGTATACGACTAACATTTACTCGCATGTGCATGTATAATAATAATTGATTTATAGAGCGCCTATTTCCAAAAGATATTGCTCAATGGCGCTATAAAGAGAAATGATTGCAGACAATGTCTATGGAAAAGAGGGTTTGAAATGTATGGTTACTTTCATGCCCATCATTTGCCCACAAATGCACTCCACATAACACATACGGGCACTGTGAACATGTTTACACTGAAATGCTTCGTGAACAAGAATGTAACTAGGTCAATGAAATTCACTGTGTTTATGTAAACAAAAGACATTGCATATTATCTTGCCTCACACCTAAATGTCGTTTTCTGATTGGCTGTGCGCTCTTTTATTATTTTCAATGTACGCGCTAACAAGCGAGTAATATTTTCTATGTACCCCGCTGGGAATGCTGAACTCATTTGGTACTTTCGTAGTAGTAATTCTTTATCTCGAATAACATTGAATCGCGTATGATGTACGGAAATTACCGATGTTTACCGAATGCAAATCGATGGAAGAGATAACAAACATCGAGGGTACATCAGCCCATGTCCCCCTCGAGACCAGTGAACAACTTATATTGACATGTAGTGAGGGACATATACATACGTTACATATGAGTGAGTGAGTTAGCATGTTTTTTTTCTGATTTTCGTCTCAGGAAACCAATATTTCAATGTCGAAACGTTAGATGGAAAAGTCCGATGCATGTTAAGTAATACCATTATGACACACCGTACCTCTGTTTTAATATGAATACAGCACTAAGACAGAGGACAGCGACTCCGTGTTAGCCAGTTAGCCAGTCCTTGTCTCATCCCCTGAGTGATGAGTGCCTTGTCGTCTCAGGAAACCAATATTTCAATGTCGAAACGTTAGATGGAAAAGTCCGATGCATGTTAAGTAATACCATTATGACATACCGTGCCTCTGTTTTAATATGAATACAGCACTAGGACAGAGGACATCGACTCCGTGTTAGTCAATCTTTGTCTCATCCCCTTAGTGATGAGTCTCAGTCAAGGTAACAACAAGTACCATCTCTTAACGTCTTTCAGAACGACGCGGCCGTGGATGGAACCAAAGACTGTGTATTGTTTTGCACCGCTTTAAGCAACATTCCAGCAATAACACGGCGGGAACCCCACAAATGGGCTTCACACATTGTACCCATGTGAGGAATCGAACCCGGGTCTTCAGCGTGACGAACGGACGCTTTACCCACTAGGCTACCCCACCGTCCCCGTTACATCTGAAAAACAGCTGACTCTAAGAACAATTGCCTAGTAGCACGACCGGAATTGGTGATTTCCAAGTTAGTACATTGTAATCCAGGTTAGAGCTGATGTTCAGCAACCCATGCTTGTTGTAAGAGGAGACTAACGGGTCGGGTGTCAGGCTTGCTGACTCGGTTGACACATGTCATCATGCCCCAATTGCGCAGAACGATGCTCATGATGTCAATCACTGGACTTTCTGGTCCAGACTAGATTATTCAGAGGCCGCCGACATATAGTTCGGCTTTTGGTCGGAGTTAAACAACATACAAACAATTCCACGCAAGTCTACCCGAATATAGTGTTTGTACTGCATATAAACAATCAGTTGCTGTTTAACCCCGGAGAATAGTATTCGCACAATGGATCTATTTTTGTCACTGTAGAAAATTATTTCCGGCTATACGTCCTGACTGTGCAGGCATCACTCGGCAAATACGAAACCTTCCTTTTGGAGCGGAGTTTGTACAACCAGCGGACAGTGAGCATCTCCCTTTTCATTCAGCAAAATGGATGGATTATTTCGGACAATACTCTACATCTTATTCGCTGAGTGGTCTGGTATGTTTTCCTAGAAAGTGAGGTTGATGGACAAACTTAATGATCACTGAGCACACTTCGTACATATTTCAAAGTCGATGCTATCATCAGTTCATTCCAACCACTTTCAATGATGAATGAATATGTCCTTGGTCTGTCATGGTGATATCTGTGCAACTACCTCTTGTAATTAATATTTTTGCTATTTACGTGTATGGAAATTGTGACTAGTGATACACTAAATGCTACCACAAAAGCAGAATATAGTCTTCTTTTTTATGGACACCCGGTGTCACATTATTGTCTGTTCATATAATTGTCACAGTTTTTTAGCCCTCCATGCCAAATGCGATCTGTTTTGGCGTATAATCAAGACTGTGGCTCTTGAATTCTATACTGTTACCGTCCAGTACGTTCAGCCCGTGAAGAACCGGGTTAGAATTGATCTTCAGCAACCCAGGCTTGTCGTAAGAGGTGACTTACGGGATCGGGTGGTTAGATTCGCTAACTTGGTTGACACTTATCATCGTATCCAGGTTGCGTAGATCGATGTTCATGCTGTTGATCACTGGATTGTCTGTTCCAGGCTCGATTATTTACAGACCGCCGCCATATAGCTGGAACATTGCTGAGTGCGGCGTAAAACTAAACCCACTCACGCACTCACTCCAATGCGTTCTGCTTGCATATTGTTTTCTGTTTTCATGCAGGTTGTCAGATCACCCTTGATATCCAGCCGAAGGTAATACAGCTTGGCATTTCACGACACATGAAAGTGCGATGTAGCCTTGGTGTTGACTTCTCGAAGACAGACACGGTGTACTCGATAATGCTTAAGAAAGGAGGGGTTTCCATTGCTGTTTTATTCCAGGATGGAAGCATTGAGATGGCGGAACCGAAATACAATGCTACAGGTTCTGTGTCTACAGGGCCGTTTTCCACTGCCTTTCTCGAGCTATCACTGGACAAGGTCACATGCAGTGACAAGGGAGAGTACTCCTGTAGCATGGCAGTTCGACGTTTGTATGCGAGTATGGAGATTGGACCTGTTGCATCTCGTGTGCAAGTCATGGGTTAGTCACACCAACTTTTTGATTATGTTTCTCACTGCAGTGGTTTTTGTCCGTGTTCTGTTACGATTTTGGTAAAAGTGCCGCCAAGAAAAGGAAGCATGAATAACAAATTGTGTTGAAGTGCTGTTGTGTGCCTCTTTTCTATCTCTGAGTAATACATATAATTGTGTTCAACGAATACCACATATACTATAGTCCGTTTGACTCAAAAGCAGACCCATGAATTGCAATCTAACTCGAAAACTAATAAATATATAATACTCAATAAAACGCTGATCATAATCAAAACATCAGACCAAATCTGTGAGTTTTTGGCAGAATTTATGTCACAGTTCACTATTTGTTACGAGGGAGGGGGGGGGGGGGAGGAACAGCATGATGTGCAAGAAATGATGGAGACGGCACAGCACAGGTGAATGAATCAATAACATTGTCGGCACTTGTGCACGTGCTTCACGTACACCTGACTGTTCCTCTTTTACATGAAAATATTGACGTGATCCATAGTATTTCCATAATTGTGTCGTACTCTTGTTATACTATATTTCCTCACTGAACAATACATGACTGACAGTGATACTTCTGGTTTCATACAGGAGGTCCAAGCCCTGTGTCCCTCACAATGACACCGGACAGACCTGCTTACACTGATGGCGAAGTGGTCAACATTACCTGCTCCGTGTTGAAGAGTGCTGAGGTGGCCCATTGGACATGGGTTTTGCCAAATCGAAAGAAACACACTGTATCGAGTTATTGCATATACAATGAATCTGAATGTGCCCACATGTGTACAAGCTCTACAATGTATACTGTCTCCAGGGTGGACGCCGGAGGTTCTGCTGAATGCCGTAGCGGGGAACTCAAGAACGAAATACAAATAAATATGTCACATTCTCCCGTTGAAGGTTAGAAATATAGAGAGTTATATTGAGTGAGTACAGTTTTACGCCGCTTCTAGCAATATTCCAGCAATATCACGGCGGTTTACACCTAAAAGGGGCTTCACACATTGTACCCATGGGGGGAAATCGAACCCGGCGTTTTCGGCGTGACGAGCGAACTCTTTAACCACTAGGCATGACTAATACATTTAACTATCATATCATCAACGTCGCCATTGTCACCGTCATCATCATTATCATTAGTACTATTATCAACACTTTAACCTACTTGCGAGGCAAGTAACTTCTGAAAATATTGAGTAAGTTAGTTTTACGCTGCCTTTAACAATGTCTCAGCAATTTGTCGGTGGGGTACACCAGAAATTGGCTTCAAATACCACCCAGAATGATATTGAATTGAAGTGCAATTAACTCAAATCAATCAAAGTATATACTTGTTTTCTCTCTTTTTCTTAGATAATTTGCCGCTCGTAAGAATGTATCCAAATGTCACAACGTCATTTCCAGGTAAGATCCAAATTAAAATATTTCTATACTCAGATGAATAAATTTTCCAGACGTTGAATGTTTGACAGTGGGATATTGAACTTGTTCATGGCTGCATTTCATAAATATCATTTATTTGGAACTATCAATTAGACGTGTGTATCATCTGGCGTTTTACGTTAAATTAAACACACTACTTTGCTGCCTATGGGAAATTACCAGGTGCCCTTTAACATCTGAAATCAAAGTCCTTTCAGCAGAAGTATATCCCTCTTTGTTCATTGTACAATTATTGTATCAAGACTAACATAATCATATGTTTATCCTTCACAAGAATTTTGTTGGTAATCAGTTATGCATTTATCTTACCTTCCTTGGTCAATGACGCTTTAACAAGTTTCCGTGTCACCCCTCCCAGGAGGGTCACAAATGGAAAAGATATTACCCCCTGCCACGGTAACCGCTAAACTCTCCGCCGAGAAGCTGCATCGCTAACTATCGTATGGCATCATAACATGACGCATGCAGTGTACAGAGTTCGAAAACCGTTTGAATAGCTGTTTTGAGTTCGCTATGTACACATTTATATTACCGACTTTCACTGCTTTATTTTAAACTATTTTATACATTGTGTCGTTTGCACACTCAACTTAAACATAATTAAACATTTTTATAGCATTTTAAGCTTGTCATAATAAATTTCACTGATTTAAAAATTCCAGTCGAGAGGCAGACGCCATTTTGTTTATATGTAATATAGTCGTTAGAGAGCCTATCGATCTTCAAAATAAAACAAAATAATATTTTGTACATTCAACATGACGGCAAGATAAATACGTTGTACGCTTCTCCTTCGGGTAATACGGTCTGATGTACGCCTCTTTGTAGCAGTGTCATCCCTCGCCTACCGGCAAGCTGTATCTGTAGCAGTGTTACCCGGTAGGCGAGGGCTGACACTGCTACAAAAAGGCGTACATCAGACCGTATTACCCTCGAGAGAAGGATACAACTTGTAGTGTATATACAATATTGTCCCAACCTACATAACTCGATGTCCATTTAATTTCACATTAATCGTAGTCACGGGGTTTGTCAGTATGGGATGATTGAAGACCAAATGCCAGTACAAATTCACTTCCCTTTAAAATAGGCCAGTGCTGGGTTTCAGTTTTGCTGTAATGGGGATGTTAAATATTACATGTAATTACAAAGTGACGGAAGGGTAACAGGTATTGACTCACCTTAATGTCCAAATGAGTTGAAAGTGTGGACTGTATCGTAAACAAACAATGTACATCTGTATTCATCTGTCATTTCCTATGGATGTAGAAAGGGTTTTGTCGCCTCTATTCAATTTGTTCATACAATCAAAATCAGAATTCCTTTCAAGGCATCTCAAACGAAGAGACAAGCGAGGTTACAGTGACAAACAAGGAACTCACTTCCTCAACAACCATCACACAGCCAGGTAAGTTAATATAGAATAATACACACCAGAATGTCAAGGTGGTATAGCCTAATTTACCTGTCACATGGTTAAAATGAGTAAAACTCTGTACGAACAAATTTCATGACTCATTTTATCCTTTTAACGGACAATGTTTAACGCAATAATATTTACAATATTCGTCGATGTTTCATGTCATCAGGGCTGATCCCAAACTACCAGATATGTAGATATTGGCCGTAAATCTGGATGAGGTTTGAACCCAGCCTTAGCACATGTGTGTAACAGGTAGCACCAATGGGCAGGATACTCTTACCTGTTAGCGAAAACCTGGTATCATTATTATTTGATGATGATTCATAAACATATGCTCATGATATGGTCGACATGTCACAATCGACTCTGCTCTTAGAAGAGCCGTTGAATGGCTGTTGACCGGTTTTATCGCTTTACATTTAATTCATTTATTCAGGAGAACAATCAAGTTGTTACAATCAAACCTTGTATTGTTTTGTGTTTGCTGTAACAGACAGAGGGGGAACAGGACTGACGGTGCTATATGTTCTTGTGTCGGCGTTTGCTGTTATCCTGGTCTTTACTATGCTTCACCTCTTTTTAACAGGTAAATTTGCCACCCGTGAAGATCCGGTTTGGAATTGATTTTCAGCAACACATGCTTGTCGTACGGGGCGATAAAAGGGATTGCGTGGTCAGGTTCGCTGACTTGACACATGTCGTCGTTTCCCAATTGCTTATATCGATGCTCATGATGTCAATCACTGGATTGTCTGTTCAAGGAAACCTTGAATTGAATTAAAATTTATGTTAAAAAGAGAAGGAATATAGGCATATTGTTTTGTTAGATATGGTCCAGCTAATTCACAATATTTAGATCCGCGAAGATCCGAGTTAGAATTGATCTTCAGTAACTTCTCTTAAGGGGCGACTAACGGGATTGAGTGGTCAGGTTGTCAAACACTGGACTGTTTGTTCCAGACTCGACTTTGTTTACAGACAGACATCATATAATTGGGCAATGGTTGATTGTGGTGATAATGGTCATTATGCGGAAAGCCGTCATCATTTTGTTTCATTATAGGTCTAATTTATGCTAAAGGGACATTTTACTTGAAAGACAAAAGTTCATGGTAAAACAGATACATGAAAACATCAATGCCGTGTAACCAACTGTTTTATTTCTAGATCGGAAATGTAAATGTCATCACTCGTCTACAAACAGCTTTTCCGACTCACACCTCACCGAAAGTCACCTTACCAAAGGAACAGGAAGTAAAGTCATAATCATTCACACCAGTGACATATCAAGTGTCCGTTCTCACAAGGGCATGGGAACCCATGAAGCGGCCTATCTTCATCCCGAGCGACCTACAGACAGCAGCGTGTTACAGAGCGAAACCCTTCATGCTGAACCCGTCTATGAGGAAATTGAGTAGCCAATATGTATCTCTCTCTCTGCCTTGCTTCAAACATTTCATCTACAGCAATTGCGAAGATCGATGCTCATGATGTCAATCACTGGATTCACTGGTCCAGACTCAAAAATGTTAACCGACCAGATATAGGTGGAAATTGTTCAGTGTGGCGTTAAACAACAAATAAACAAATCAATATACGATGTTTCATTATACCGTACCATCCCGTATGCAATTCATATATATGTATCTATTTAATTTCATACAATAAGAATTTGAATATTATTCAACCAAGCTGTCACTCAAGACGGGTCACTCACAGTATCGGCTTTCATGTAGTGCGTAGTGCGTGACACACGATTTGACATAAGTCTTCAACTCAGACACTGGCTACCTGGACAAAAGGTTATCGATCTGAACAATACGTTTCTGTATATTGGCACTGCACATTTCTTCCAGCGTTGATCTAAACAGCCTCTTTATTTTCCATGTTGATACTGCAGCTAATGGACATCAAGATGTGTTGTCATGTTAAAAATAAAATGTTTATATACATACACATAAGTCAAGATCGAAGAAGTTTTTGTGTATTGTATTGTTCACTTCATTTTTATCAATGTTATTTTGATAAAAAGTGCTTGTTATATAGATCAAGTCGAGCATAAATTATTTTGAGCAGAATGTTACTCTTTACCATTCGAATTAGAGTTTAAAATATATATATATAGATATAAAGTGCACACTGTTTCACTCTCTGATATATAGTGGGCGATTTATGGAAAATGTCTGTATAAAATTGTCCTGCTCCCGTCCCTCGTGTTTAGGTTTACGCAGTAGACCTTGGTCATGCAGCAATAATACACAGGGTATTTGTTTAGTATACCTCAATTTTCACCGCTTGCACACACGAGAAATAGAAACTTCTAACACATAATCAGCCATTCATTTGAATAGCTGAATGTCCCAAAAAGTAATTAAAACCTGTTTTAATTCCATTTGTATTTCATTTGTTCCACAGTACGTGTGTCTGTAAAATTTGGAGATCATCACTTGTGTTACTTAACGTCTTTGTATAAATGGATGTTCACAAACACTACAACATTCCCGTCATGCTCATCCTGTGTTCCCTACAGATCTCGAAATGAAAATAAACATTTACATATTTGACTTCATATGCATATACCTCCAACCGCACTGCACACACAGAACAGTCTACTAATACAAACAGGGATGTAGAAAACAAGATATCTCCTGTATTTACTGGAACCCAAGCCTACAGTGCCTAGCAGCTTGGACGTCCTTTATTCTAGGGAGGCGGGAGTGCTAAATACATGTCCAGCCAGAAGGCTGCTGGTGAAAACACAAGACAGGGTTGGATGAGATTTTATTGTGTGTTGAAACAAACAAAAGTTATAAATTGTGGTCACATTTTGTGCAGGGTTTTTTGCATTGTTATCTGTCGTAAAATCCTTCTTGGTGGATGAATGAAGATGGTATATGTGACGATGCGAACGTATGAAAGGTCATACAATGTTGTCACACTTTTGTGAAGACGTTAGAGGGCATTTTTCACAGTTATCTGTCGTAAAATCCTTCTTGGTGAGTGAATGAAGATGGTATATGTGACGATGCGAACGTATGAAAGGTCATACAATGTTGTCACACTTTTGTGAAGACGTTAGAAGGCATTTTTCACAGTTATCTGTTGTAAAATCCTCCTTGGTGAATGAATGAAGATCGGAAATGTGACTTTGCGAAAGTTGTACTTCCTCGTCTTTGTCGGTCTGGTTTTCAGCACTGGACCAGCGTCGTTTATAGCCTGCACGGCAAGGAGGAAACATTGAATTCTATTGTGAATATTTCTGCACCAGGTAGTACAGGTCTTTTTAAATAACAAAGAAAGCGAAGGTGTACACCCATGTTTGCTGCTGGCAAAATATGAAACAGGCATCATTGTTAAAGTTACCTGAGGCCGTGATGCTATTCGGTCACATATGAGTGAGTATGGTTTGACGCCGCTTGTAGCAATATTCCAGCAATATCACGGCGGGGGCCACCAGAAATGGGCTTCATACATTGTACCCATGTGGGGAATCGAACCCGGGTCTTCGGCGTGACGAGCGAACACTTGAGCACTTGGCTACCCCAGCCCCCCTCGGTTACATATGAATTAAGAAAGTATAACTGTACGAATTTGCAGGTTTAACAGCCTGCCCCTACAAATACACGCAAAGGCTTGTCAATTATTCACATGAGGAAGACCGGGAACGTATGGTACAAGTCAAAATAGGGAATTGCCTTGGACATCGTTTTTGTCATTGATACGTCCCTATTTGAAAATTCCTACATCCCATAAAACGTTTTGAAAGTTTTACAGAGGCCTTGGATATAACGACCCTGGTCACCAAACATCTTAGTATCTCCACTGCATGGAAGTTAGTTCATATTACTAAGTGTGCCTTGCTGTGAAACATCGCAGTAACATTATTCATTCGGAAATATAGTACGATTTCAGTGTCAAAACACTGAGGAAAAACATGTTTGGAAAGGTGGGACATGGTAACTTTACAGTATTGTCAGTAGTACCAGTAAGTATCTTTTTGTAACTGCCTGTGAAGATAGGACTGTTTTCAAAACTAATCAATGACGTTTTTCCTTGGAAGGCATAATGTCGGATACGGACCAAAAATAATATTTTTTTTAAATGTTTCTGACAAAATCATCACTTTCCCTTATCAAATACCAAACTTGTATATATGCATATTTCAAATTCGAAACAAAACGCAACTAGGAATAATATTACTTTCATATGATACTAATGAAACAGTTTAGTTGAATTATTCGACGTTGTTTTGATTTAAATATATTTATATTGAAAATATTGGACTGTACGCTCAAACAAACGGACGACGGACAGAGAGACAACCAAATAGATATAGAAACACAGAGGGTAACCATATTCTCACTAAATACATACATGTACTTCTGGTTTTCAGCGTTAGCAGTACAGCCGCCATGGTCATTACAGAGCAGAGCCCCCCGAGCATATACGTCGTATAACTGATGTGCTTGACGTGATCACCTGAATCAAAATGGACAAAGTTTTTATAAGTAGGAAGATACATATAACGATAACGTATATTCGACATTA